TTTTCTGCCTTTAAAAGCACACACAACCCACAATTCCTCTATTTGCTCCGACGAAGGGCTAACGCTCGAAACGTCAGCTTTTATAATCGTAACGGTGGCCAATTTACCATTTCAACTTTGTTGATATATTCAAATTACTTCGTTACCCCCACCGACGCAGCCCCGAACAGTTTCTTTAGGAATTATCAGCCTTTATTCATTGATATTACAACACTGAGATAGCCCAAAAAGCTGATTCATCAAATGTTATGCTTTTGAATGGGGGCCAACAGATGACTGATGACCTCAACATGAACTCAAAATCAATCATAACCCTAAAAGATCCACAAACACATGACAGCTATAATGCAGCTACGGTCAATTACACGAACAAAACAATGAGCGATGACAATGCTGTTATGAAAACAAATTACAAGAAATGTGTTAACGACAATCTAACCCACAGCATCAGTGAAGGCTTGGCCGAAGAAATGAAAAAAACTATTCTCAAATTCACCTAACCATCTCGGATACATCATGACTTCACCAGGTCAATTCACTGATGAAGACGACATAACAGGAAAACAAATCACAACCAAATACGATATTCCAGTCAAACCATTCGAACTAAAATTACACACCAAAAAGGGATATTATTCAAGCTGTTTTGGAGTAAACATGTACCCAGCTCAACAGTCAGAATATACAATCGCTTGCGAAATTTATTGGGAATCCAATAAAATAGATTACAATTCAGTTAGTTTCCAAGTCACAAGTTCTGTTGAGACAGTCTCCAGACAACTAACAAAAAAATCAAACAACCACATCAGGAGTATAATTCACACCACCAAATAGAACAACGTAATGCCACATCACTTGATGTTTGACATCATCATCAAATTCAAATCCAGACAATCTTATGATTAAACATTACCTATATGGGTAAACATATCGATACTCGAAATGTGGCTATCATTGCAAAATTATCTAGAGATATCACTGTCGGGTTGAACAACATCACAGACGTACAGCATCACTAATGTGACAATTCATTACAGAGGCTCACTAGCCATACTCAGTCGGTGGTGAAGTTTCCGTCTAAATTCAAGAGCAGGTTTAATTAGTTCCATATCAAAAGGAAAATACATTTTCATTGATTTTCTTATTAAATTACCATAAAGTTCTTTAATACTAATATATCTTTCTTAAAATTCGTTCATAAAATATACTTCCATAAACAATCCCAATCAAGTGACTTCAAACCTAATCCTTCTAATATTAAATAAATCATGAATTCAAACTTTGGTAGTTGTTTTATTTTGAGATATCTGAGATCAAATGTTTACACCAATGTTTCAGAAAAAAATTTAAAGAACATAATATTAACCCTAACCCTTTCAAGCTTTCAAGGTTCAAGCTTGTTAAAAAAAATATAATAAATAAATAAATAGATGTTGACTTTTATCACAGCATTGTATACGACTGATAAGGATATTAAATATCATTTAGGAGATGAGAATTTAGTTAATTTAATTGATGAATTTAGAGAATGGATAAATGCTCTCGAAAATAATTATTTAAAGTTTTTTTTCGTAAATAGTTTTATACAATGGGTAGAATGAAAGATGCTTTGATTGATAGTTGTGGTTTTAGATCCACCATTTTGAATTCTTGGAATTTTCATGAATCTGCGTTTTTGGATTTCAACTTTGTTGAAAATATTTTTCAATATAGTTTTCAAATTTCTGGATTTTTGGATTTTTGATCTGAATTTTTCAATGTATTCTTCAAATTTTTAGGGAACATTTTTTTGGATTTGGACTTTTCATATCAGATTTTTTGTATTTTGGACCCCTATTTTTGAAATGAGCTGGACACCCCAACTACTATACTACGTGCAAAATTTAAAATAAGGGTCTAACTTTGTGCGCCAGTCTTGCCATAGTTTGAAGAATCTCACCTTAAAGGCTAAAAAACCCCTTTTTAATCTGAAGTTTACATGTCATGAAAATGTACCGCCAGATACAGCTAGTCACATAAATCAAGCAAAATAAAAAGAATTAAGGATAGCTAGAAGAACAAGGTGTACTCACAAAGTACATTGACAGAGATTGTATGATTGACTGGACTTCTGATGCCATTGTCGGCTGTACAGCTGTATGTTCCAGTAGCAGTTCTGCTAATGCTTACAATAATCCAAGGATTTCCAACAAACAGCTTTTGACTGTCAGTACCATCCTCCAGCACTCTGGTCCAAGTGATGTTTGGCACTGGTTTACCAGTTGCATTGCAAAACAAAACCAGTTCAGAACCCTCAGTTACATTCTCACTGTCACTAGCTGAGGTTATCTGTGGTGAAACTAAAAGGAAAGAAACATGACTATAATGACTTCAGCAGTTTTGTTATTTCAATGACAACATTCTTCACAATTACTTTCATCTTAAAAGGTAAAATAGTGCTAAATAACTGCAGTATATATGCATATGTACTGGACTGCAGTGGCTGTATTAAATGCAGTTACCATGCCTCCTACACCTGTGGCTGTACACTGCTTCATCCTGATCACATACATGAACACAGATAAGTTCAATAATTATTACACTTTGGTCTTAGATTCCCAATTTTAGTTGTCATTACATATAGTCAAGCACAAGTGACAAAGCATCATTTTATATACCATACTTACTCATGTACAAGTCCAAGAATATGACCAAGAAAAAAACAGCCCAAAACATCACCCTCAACTTATACATGAGTTATACACAAAGACCTGACCCAAGCAATCCAAGAAATTAGTAAAACAATTGCCTGTGGTCCGTTGGGACCAAGTTTACAAAACCAGTTCAAATTGTGCGAGTTTCATCAGTTTTCAGTAAACTCTTCATCAAAAAATTCATCAAAAATTTTGAAATAATAGATTTTAAGTTCCTTAAACAGAATTCTATTAGAGCTGCTTTTTTTTTGTGGCTTCTGATCTGTAAATAAGACATGATTTTCTCTCAAACTTAGAACTCACTGGGTTAATTATGTCACCTTCATTAATAAAGAACATTGTTTTGTATTGTATTGTACAGCTTTGCAACTAGCTGTTTACGTTGCAGAACTTTCATGTTCATCAAACGATTATAGTAGCTTAGTGACCTGGCAAATGCTCAACTTTGTAGTTTGGTTACCAAGTTTTCTAAGATAGCAATCCTTTGGTGTTCCTTTGGTGCACTAAATCTTTCAAACTCAGCATTATGATAAAGATAGCTTAAATGCAAGATTTCATTTTAAATGCTATACTCTAATTTTAGAGTACCTGACAAGCCAATATCTTTAAGCTGTTAAACAACAAATGCATGAATGAGTTTCCATTGGGGAAAACCCAAAGCTACTGATCATGAACAGATAAATGCACCAGTATCACTGTCAATCAACACCATCAGTCTAACTCATCCTCTTAAATAAGTTTTGAGCTAATCACTACCCTTACAAAGTGGATTTTAAAATTCCTAGGAACTCTTAGGATTACCTTAGGAATTCCTAAGAATTCCAACTAAGAGCACCAATGACTTCCCTGAAAGCCTGTACATTTAAAAAATATTTAAGAGACTGGGAATTTTAGGAAAACTTTGAGGCAACTAAAATGAAATAAAGACATGCATTAACTCCCGACTAAAAATTCAAGTAGTCAATGAAAATTATCTACATGCATAACTCAGGCTTTCTTGTACATTATTTTCTATTGTATATTAACATCATCATGTAGTAATAATAGGATGGAATTTGTTTTTAATTTTCTTTTCTTGAAAACTTCATAAAAGTATCCTCAATTACAGCTATATATTCATTTAAAATAGTCTTAATGAATCATTAAATTTGGTTTGACGCAAATTGTGAATAAAATCCGTTGATTGTTAAATGAATCATTTAATTTGGAATGATGATACAAATGGTATTTTACCCTTTCCTCCCAGAGTCAGGGTTTGACTTAATTTTATGTGCTTGTCACTTGTTTGGATAAACTCTTGTGTTAATTAAAATTCAAATGTAAGCTGTCAAGCAATATTTTCATGTTATACTGTTTGTTTTTGTTGATTCTGCAAATTGAAATTCAAAGACTTCTACTCAATTTTGACTTAACACCCTTAGGGGTGAAGAGCTTAATTACAGTTAAATAATTATTTTTTTAATTAAAATCTATCTTGTTGTAACTGTAACAATAAGTTGTAATGAAGTTGTCCTAAACTGCAGACTAAGCAGATGTTTGTCTTTATTTGCTAGGCTCGCAGCTTGTTAAACGTGACTAAAATAATCCTGAAACCATCAGCTTACTCAGATAGATTTAAATCATTGTAAAGCGTAAGCTTAAGAAACTGTGGCATGGGACCGATTCGATTCTCAGTTTTGATCAGGTACGAATATCGCAATTTGTTCTCACCACAAACTTTCAAAATCGTAGCTTTATAAATGGCCGCCCGACCCTTGTACCTGTCGATGTGTCAATTGTCGTCCCTTCTTTTAACTCCACGGCGCCAACAACTTGCTTTTCATCTACAACACTCACACTATTTTCGTTTTCCCATTGAACAACAGTTAAACCCCTCTTTAGAGATGTTATATTAAGCAAAACAGTCGAGAAAAGAAGAAATTTGATGCAAGCGATAGATTTACATTCAAAGATGAGCACGAATTTGGAGTTTTTCTTTGTTTCCAATCACAGTATGATCACGTGTATCTATTGGGAATTGTCATTGGCTAGAAGAGAATCCACTGGCTTGCCTGGTTACAGTCTCGAGAGAAGCACACAAGAGTCTACTGAGTCGACTACTGAGTCTTCTCACAAAGTGTGCAGTGAGCATGTGAGATTATTATGACTTGTCTGACCAGAACTGTGCATTTGAACAATGGCTTTACCTTGGATCCATGCCCCAACGATGATGTATGATGTGAACTCACTCTAGGTAGAAATAATCGACGAGAATCGGACATACTGCAAATGCACGATTTTTGGCCAAAAGTTGTCGAGGAAATTAAACAAAGACTCGAAACCCACTTCAGTTGTGTTCACGGCAAAGGTGAGAAATAACACAAGCCAATCACAACTTTGAATGTGTATGCAGATTACCAACGTGTTTTACCTTCATTATTATGACAGATGGATACCACCTTAGGAAGTGTACGAGATACTTAGATGATCACAGTGTACCAGCTAGTACCCAAATCAACAAACTGTGACTGTAACAAGCGTTCAGCAACATGTTCCAACACAGCCATCTCAATTCCTTATAGTCTTTTGTTTCCACTGAACTAGCAGTGGTGCCAACAAAGTCAAGTGCATCTCATAACGAAGAAATTAACATCTGCACAAGAGGAGGAAGTGACTGTGGTGCGTTGGAATTCTCGACCACAAATGAAAGTCCACATTCAGAAACATTCCCATGTTTATGGTTATGTTTATGTTCTATGATTTTGGCACATTTGTGGATGAGACATATTGCATCACAATAAAATTTTTTAATGATTATGGACTTGAAGGCATATCTGTGATTGACAACTTGCAATTAACATAATTGACTTTTGCTTTCTGAAAAAATGCATATTAATGTTAGGATTTACAAAATCTTAGTTCGAATAATAAATTTCATGAAACATATGCACGTATGTACATTTCTTGGTACATTTTGTATAGAATACCTTTCATTGAACCAAAGCTTTTAAGCCTACAAAATTACTCCATGTCTTAAGACCTTCACATTCAAGGTATTGAGAATTTCCTGGAATTATTTGAACTTGAGGGTTATTTAAATTGCCTTAAATTCAGTTCCCAGATATTCCCAAGAATTTAACCCTTCTTAACTTATAGGTAGTTTGTATAGCTGAGAATTCCTAGGAATTCCAAGTCCTCGCAAAACTGGAACCTTCGAACCCTTTCCCAGAAATTCCCAGTAATTCCAAGCATTTCAAATCAGACCTTATTTACATAGTTGGGAGTTTTTGAGAATTGCTGGGAATTCTCAGAAAACTGGTAATTCTGAGCTGAGTTTGCAAGGGAATTATCATCATGCTTCAAGGTATAGGTTGTGCTCACAAAGAAAGTCGTGTAACCGCATTTTTTGAAAACACCAGAGGAAAGAATGAAATCAAAATAAGCAAGAACCAAAGCCCAAAAATTTAATTGTTTGACTATACCATAAATTCACACAAAGCACTCCTCTAGAATATAAGTGAAAAGAGGTTGGGAATAACAGCTTCCAGCCTGAATCAGTTATCAAGTTTTCAAAGATAATTCCAATTTTATGTGACTGCATAACTGAGTTAAACCTATAATGAACACAAACGTACACGCTAGCCCTATTTGTAATCTGGAAACTATTATAACACATATGTAACATATATGCAAACATTCAGTTGCATATGTGATTTATATATAATGTACATACCAGCTATCAATTAGATATCTGACATTATGAAATCGTAAATATAATCATAAACTTCATATTATTTAGTCACATGCAAAATGTACAGAACACCAAAATCTAACATTAATCAGCACATTCAAAATTCATGCACCTCAATTTATACAGGTACCTATGTAACATTACTCTTATATGTCACATAATTCAGCAACAGTAGATTTATGCATTTTCACTGTAAATAGTATCCATAATATACTATAATGAACTGTATAATATAATGTTTCAATAATTTTAACAGTAGAAGTTTTTGTTCAGTCATTCCACACTGTACTGTTGGACATCATCATATATAACTATAAAAGGACTACAATTTGTCAGGAGATCATTAAAATATCTCTTAATTTCTCTTTAGTTTTTTTCACAAATGCTAGAAGGACATTGTTACATTGCTAGAAAAAGTCACTTTGAGAAATTAAAATTTCTCTTGAGAATTTTTTTGAAATTCTAAACGTGTGGCCACATTTTCCACAATTCTCAGCTATACACAAACTACCTTAAAGCTAAGAAGGGTGGAATTCTTAGGAATTGAATTTGAGGCAAACTAAATAACCCTGAAATCCAAATAATTCCAAGAAATTCTCAATACCTTGAAAGTGAAGGTTTTAAGACAAGGAGTAATTTAAATAGAGGCTTAAAACTGGTTCAATAAAAGATACGTTAAACAAAATATACCAAGAGATATACCTGTACATGTTTATCATGTAATTTATTATTTAGACTAAGTTTTAGTAAATCTTAACATTAATATGCATTTTTTTCATAAAGCAGCAGTCAGTTACATTAGGTGCAAATTGTCAATTTAAATCCAATGTAATCATATCACAGATTTGCTTTCTAACCTCAAAGGCCTCTTGGATTCCAGTCATAAAAGGTTTTCTTGTGATGCAAAATGTCTCGT